CTGGTTCCCCTTATTCTGTGACAGGCGTGGACATCGTCATGGACCCTCTGGGTGGGTTAGATACTGCTAAAGGCTACAACCTCCTCAAACCCATGGGCAAATTGATCACCTATGGTAAGTCAGGGGGCCAGAATGGAGAGGGATATAGGGGCCCAGGGCTTTTGAATGAAGAAGGGGCAGGGACCCAGGTGCTGTAGAGAGGGTGCCAGGGTTAGGATGGCCCTGAGATGTTGCACTCAGATTGCTGCCTCCTGGGTGCAGCTATTGTCATTTTCTTTCACAACCTTCCATGTGAGTCACAGGAAATTGTATTCTTTCTGTGCTGCTGTTTGGGGACTTTTCTTTTAAAAAAATATTTTTATTGATTTCAGAGAGGAAAAGAGAAGGAGAAACATCAATGATGAGAGAGAACCATTGATTGGCTGCCTCCTACATGCCCCACACTGGGGATCGAGCCCACAACCTGGGCATGTGCCCTTGACCGGTATCGAACCCAGAACCCTTCAGTCCGCAGGCCTCCGCTTTATCCACTGAGCCAAACCAGCTAAGGCTGGGGATTATTGCTGAAGCCGGTTTGGCTCAGTGGATGGCGCGTCGGCCTGCGGACTGAGGGGGTCCCAGGGTCGATTCTGGCCAAGGGCCCTTGCCTGGGTTGCAGGCTCGATCCCTAGTAGGGGGCGGGCAGGAGGCAGCCGATCAGTGATTCTCATCATTGATGTTTCCATCTCTCTCTCCTTTTCCCTTCCTCTCTGAAATCAATAAAGAAATATATATATATATATTTCTTTATTGATTTCAGAGAGGAAGGGAAAAGGAGAGAGAGATGGAAACATCAATGATGAGAATCACTGATCGGCTGCCTCCTGCCCGCCCCCTACTAGGGATCGAGCCTGCAACCCAGGCAAGGGCCCTTGGCCAGAATCGACCCTGGGACCCCCTCAGTCCGCAGGCTGATGCTCTATCCACTGAGCCAAGTCGGCTAGGGCTGGGGATTATTCTTGATGCACAATCACCCAGTCTGCCTTCCTCTGTTCTACCCTCCTGGCTTCTTAGACAACTGCATTTCCATTTAAAAAACCATTCCATACACCTGAAACCAATACAAAATAGTATTGAATGTAAACTGTCATTGAAAAATAAAATTAAAAAACCATTTCACATAAAAATAAACAAATAAAGATTAGAACCATTTTTTAGTTAGATGGAGTCCTTTTGGGCCTGGTAGCCTGCAGGTAGTGGATTATCCTGTCACTTCCTGGCACTGGTGTGGATAATTGTAAGGGGCCTACAGGGGGCACACGAACATGGATCTAGACTGGGGTGGGCAAACTTTTTGACTCGAGGGCCACAATGGGTTCTTAAACTGGACCGGAAGGCCGGAACAAAAGCATGGATGGAGTGTTTGTGTGAACTAATATAAATTCAAAGTAAACATCATTACATAAAAGGGTACGGTCTTTTTTTTTTTAGTTTTATTCATTTCAAACGGGCCGGATCCGGCCCACGGGCCGTAGTTTGTACACGGCTGCATTAGCCCTATGTGGCTACTGAGCACCTAAAACATAGCTAGTATGACTAAGGAACATAATTTTTAACTATTTAATTTTAATTAAATTGCTACATGTGGCTAGTAACTACCCTAGTGGACAGTGAATTAAGATTACTTAAAGTGGAGAATACAAAGCAACATAAAAACATACCACTGCTAAAACTATATACTTACATGCTTCATCTCAGAGAGTTAATGAAATAAAAAACACGTCTGCCTTCTTACAAAAAGCAGATCATCTCTTTTCCGGTAGATCATTAACCCCCATCCCAATCCCCCAT